CATTACAGCACATGGTGCTGTTCTAACAGGAGTGTTTGCGTCGCGTCGCGTTGCGTCGCGGCAAAACGGACGCCTCTGGTCGAGTCAGGAGGCTTTGAAGCCTCCTATTCTCGTCTATGGTGCCGCTCCGCAAACGCCCGGCCGGCGTTTGCGGTGCGGTTGCGACGCGGTTGCGGGGTGTTTGCGGAGCGGTAACACCACTCAAATGCATTATAGGCGTTTGTGGGGCGTTATTAACGCTCGGCAAACGCCTAGCAACCGTCGCTAAACCGCGCATGCGGCGTTTGCGGAGCGTTTGCCGAGCGTTAAAAACGCTCCGCAAACACCGGACCAACGCTTGCCAAACGCTATAGGGGCGTTTGGCAAGCGTTGCCAAAACAGCCTAGTGTGAACGAGCCCTAACTGTTCAATGATTAATTTCTTTTCCTATAGAAAAGAAAAAGTAATTTCATTCCGCAGTCAAACTTCACCTAGTATGGAGTATAGGCACACAGTTGGTTAGCAGTTGTGTCATCTTCCACCACTAAGGCAACCTTGACAATCTTGATCAGGATTTTTCTTATTATGTTTCATTTAATTTTCTATTACAAAAAAATGAATTTAAAATTGGTTTTACTAGGGCTGCCTTGCTCCCTTTGGAAGACTGTCATAAACACGTCTGCCAATTCATTTCCCCTGCTACAACGTTTAAAAACATTACAAATCCTGGAGCATGTCAGAAATCCTTCAAAATTATTAGAAATGGTAATCGTCTGAAAATAATACATAATTGTTGGAACACTTTAGTTAATTGATACGCTTCCCAGGCCAGGAAATGGGATAGTGGGACTATTTTTCTACATCACTGAAACCTGTCCTAGAAGCACTAGAGTGCCCAAAATAATTAAGTATTTTAGCAAGAAGATTAACTTAATGCATAGCTTCGTGAGCTCTGGGAAGCACTGATGGATATACTGCGAGTAAATCTCTACTCCCCCGGTGATTTCCATTATAGTCTGTCGAGGGTAACCCCAATTTTATCTGTTTTTGCTTTCACTAAAACCCTAGTGAGTTAGATAATGGTTATGAGTTTTAAAAGGTTTTGTGACAAAAGTAATTTCTTAATACATTGATGGTGTTGATTTTTACATCATACAATAGTTTAATTTATAGACAAGATGATCGTGAAGAAACTGGTGTTTTAAAAATAGAATGCCAAGCAAACAGCTAAGTACGCGATTTAAAAATACACAGGTTTACATGGAGTTGAAAAACATAACCGTTAAGTACAAGTAATTCCAAAAATGTTTCAAATTTTTGGATATGGAAGATAATTGTTAAAATCTGAGGGTGTTTTTCCAATTTCTGTCCCTTTAGGGAACCTATCCATTGTTAAGGAAATTACTTCTTAAAGGCCAAGTTCCTTTTTAAAGAAAAAAAAATATGAATTCATTTTTTTTTCACAGGAACTTGCAAAGCTTTGCACTCCCAAACAATGGATAGAAGGTGTAATCTGAAAATGTATCCTCCAGCTCCCTGCCCCTACCTCTGTACAGGCTTTCAGTTAGAGAGCTGAAGGAAAGTGTCAATGGACTATGAGTGTGGCGATCACCACACTTGTATTCTGTTGAGAACTGCAAGTCCATCTGCTGCAGTGGAAGACAGGACATGTAGTTCAGATTTCTGAAAATGAATGATGCACAGCCATGCTGATCAAATCGGACATCTCCTGCAGGGGGCAAAAGCTCCTGCATGCTGTCATGGGGGAAGGAGGAAGGAGAGGCTGGGGGGGGGGGGGGTTGCTGAACAACATGTAACATGTTATGGCCCAAATATGAATGTAACATGCAACATGTTGCTAAAGGTAGTGTTAACCTTTAAATTATTGCCCCTGGAACTATTGTCTTTATGTACAATTGTCATCTCTTACACTTCTGGTGACATTCTGGATCTTCCTTACTTTGAAGTTGATTTACCAAAGAAAAAGTGACTGTTCACTTTGCAAGAGAATTATCCCCAGAGCTTAGTGAAGGAGATAAAGCTCTGATTGCTTCCACCATCCAATCATATGCAAACAAAACAATGTTTTTTAAATAATTTTCTTTGCTTGTGATTGGCTATTCTTTGCAAAGTGGAGTTTTACTGCATTTACTAAGCTCCGGGGCAGTCTCCTTGCAAAGTACAACATGCCTTGCAAATTAAAAAGCCTATCTACCTTTAGTAAATCAATAATAGTGGTCAAGACAAACCAATCTAAAGGAAACACAGACAGTAAATAAACCTGATTCCAACTCCTCAACACTCTATTTAAATCCAAGAAAATATGTTTTTATTCTCCTCAGCCTGTCTTAGTTTCCTGGTTCATTTTTAAAGCTTCCTGAGTCACTTGAGTGCTCATTAGACAAGGGTAGTGATGCTTAGTCTTGTAAAATGTGCAGACTGGAGGAGGAAAGCTATCACTGGAAGTTGAAAATTGAACCAGGAAATAAACCTGCATCTCTACTTTAATATCTTTTCATTTGTAAAGTGAAATATGGTTCAATGATTTAAAATTTATTTGCGGTACTACCACTGATGGTGTCCCTCTACATAGTGTGGAGTTCAAGGAGCTTCCAAAGTCCTTTTATCAATGTGGAGGCTGTTGGTATTACTTGGGTGTATGGCACATAGGAGATTTAACATGTAACAAGTACTCTTTTTTTTTTTGTTAACCACTTGCCCTGCAGAGGATTTACCCCCCTTCCAGACCAGTCCATTTTTTGCGTTACAACTCTGTGATATTTTAACTGACAATTATGAGGTCATGCAATGATGCACCCAAATTAAATTTAAGTCCTTTTTTCCCCACAAATAGAGCTTTTTTTATGGTATTTGATCACCTGTGTGGTTTTTTTTTTTTTTTGCGCTATTAAACAATAAAAAAACCCAAAAACAATATTTTTGACTTTTTGCTATTAAACTTCTCCAGTAAAAATATATAAAAAATTAAAATTTCATCATAAATTTAAGCCAAAATGTATTCTGGTACATGCCTTTGCTAAACAAAATCCCAATATGTGTAAATTATTTGGTTTACATGAAAGTTATAGTGTTTACAAATGGCACTATATTTACTGGGATTTTTATTTTTACTAGTAATGGCAGAGATCAGCGACTTATAGCGAGACTGCATGACTGTGGCGGGCATTCTGACACTGGGGGGAACTGACTTTTTGTCACTGACATCCCCAGTTACAACAATAGAGTGATCAATGCTAATAAAAAGCACTGACATTGTACTAATGGCACTGGGCAGGAAGGGGTTAACATGTGGGGCAATCAAAGGGTTAACTGTGCTCTGTTTCACTGTTTTGCATGGCTGTGCTATGCAGAGCCATGAAAAGCAGTGTGCAGGAGCTGAGCTGTACTGTATTGTGGGAAGAGAACTGTATTGTCTACATACAGTTCTCTCCCTTCATCGGTAATCATCTGTGATCACCAGGTGCCAGTGAGTAATCACCGGCTGGGACCCAGTGATTGACAGCTGAGGCTGCGAATAGCAGCGCAAAATCATATGTGATTTTGTGCACCCATGCCACCCTATAGCAGTATTACTGCTATAGGGCGGACGGGAAGCAGTTAATCCAGCACATGAAAGATAAATAAGTGTCCTAAGTTATCATGTAGACACATAATAGGTATAGAAAAAGAAGGTAAAGGTAGGTAAACTTTTTTTAATTTCGGATAATGAAGGGAAGGGTTAAAACCTATGACACTTTATTTTTTTGCTTCATCTTTGGAGTGCTGGTACAGATTGTAAACACATAACAGTTGTTCTATAGGAGATATTAGTATGCAGATGTTTAAAGATGTATAGATACTTGTATTCCCAATTTTTATTTTTATATCAATAAACTGTTGGGTAAATCCCTTTTTAATGTAAGTATGTAGTATGTGTTCTTTGGAGATCCTGAAAGTCCATCATATAGCCATATAATCTTTATCACGTAAATATGGAACGTTGGTGTCATAGTATTAGTTCAACCAAATCCTTTTGTTTCAATATGGAAATTTAGAAATGTGGTCTACATGCTTTTATACTTAACCAGTGACACAACCCAACTAAAAAATATTATAGAAATAACAATTAAGATCTTATTTTTAGTTTTCTCCCTAATAAATAAATAAATAAATAAATAAAGACTATAAACCACTATATACTGTACATTTCCTAACATATACACGACGTGTGTCATATAGCCATTGGCACTCGAGCCTGTTCTGACATTTTCTAACTTGCACTCATCTGGGTCGCAGTCCAGTTGACTGAGTCTTTATGGAGTAGTAGAAGAAATAACGTGTGTTGTACTGTTGGAGGAAAATGAGTGAGAGTAATCTGGAGTAGTGGATTAACATCACATTTTGCTTGAAAATTGGCAAAAGTGAGAGTGAAACGTTTGCTCTGCTACAACAGACTTATGGTAAACATTCCATAAAAAAATCAAGTGTTTTTGAATGGCATAGTTTGTTTAACCTCCCTAGCGGTCTGATTATGTCCATATTTCTGTGCTCAAAGCGGTACATTTTTTTGCATGGAAATATGTTTTTTTTTTATTGTAGGCCTCTAATTTTTAGGAATAACTCACTGAAATCAAGAGTCTAGTAAACATCCCGGGTATGATAAAATTTGAAACACAAAATCATAAATTATAATATTATAAATAATCATAAAAAAATAATAATATATAATAATAAATTTAATTCAATAATATAATCAAACCAAAAACACTGAAATTTGAAGTTCGCACATCACTGAGCAAAGTCGCAGAATCGTTTTCAGTGTCTGATGACGAATTTCCCCACGAATCATTATCACTCAATTCTGCAAGTAGTTCTAATTTACTATCGCTGTTCTCTAGCTGGTCTAAAACTGATTTTGACCTAATGGGATACTTTTTGGATGCCATGGACGTTTCTCAGTTTCCAGGCAGAAAGAACAGTAAAAATGCAGGCAGGGGACAGGACAGAGCACTAGGGACAAAATGTATGTTAAATGGTTTGATACAGTAATGTTTTACTATGTGATTTTAGTGTAATTGGTGAATGTCACTTTTTGTCATTTTCAAATTTCCCGCCATTCCGTCCCTGTACGTTCCGACGTTGCAGGGGACGGAACCCAGATGACAGATGCCGGCATCCACCGGAGGACATTACAGGGGACACTGCAGGAGGGACATCACGGGAGCGCAGGACAAGGTAAGTGATCGAGGGATCCTGAAGCAGCGCCGCATTGTAAGCCCGAGTGTAGCTCGGGGTTACTGCTTTTGGTACTGAAAATTTACCCCGAGCTACACTCGGGAATACAGCTAGGGAGGCTAAGGAGGGGCGAAAAAAATATCTACAATGATACAAGAAGTATGTAGCCAAAAAAGGCAAAGGACAGATATAAATCTGGAAAATGAGAACCTGCTTGGAGGAAAAGACTGGAACTTTGGCCTGGCAAGTGGATTCACCACCATGACAATGTTCCTGCACATGATGTGTTCAGAAGTTCCTGATCCAGAAATCCATTCTGAAACTTAACCAGCCATATTTTTGCCTTGCTTTAGCACCCTGAGATTTTTAGCTGTTCCCAAAATTAAGAAAAGCCTTAAAAGGGCACAGATGGATGACATTCTGGATATCCAGCACACAGCAACAAAGATACTATGCAGCATCATGGAAATTAATTCCAGGAATGTTTCTGGCAGTGGCACAGTCATCTAGAAAAGCGTGTTGTTTCACAAGCGGTCTACTTTGAAGGTGACAAGAGCCACTACTGTATAGGTGAGCAAATATTTTTGCAACTTAATTCCAGGAATTAAGCTGTCACACCATATATATACTGTGTTTCCCTGAAAATAAGACACTGTCTTATATTTATTTTTCCTCAAGAAGACACACTATGACTTATTCTCAGGAGATGTCTTATTTTTATTAATTATTAGAGCTGGGATGATCTCTCTGGGCTCAGTAGCAGACTGCTTGCTGAAGCTTTTCCCCTATCCCCTGGTGTTTGTGTGGGGTGAGAGAGACCCACAGACTGTTGCTGGTCAGTGCTGGGGGGAGCAGCAGCTTTACTGGTGTTTCTGTGGGGTGAGAGAGACCCACAGACTGTTGTTGGTTGGTGCTGGGGGAGAGAGACCCACAGTGCTAAGTAAAATGGCAGGCACAGCTTTACTTCTTCCCCCTGAGGACACACAATACCTAAAGCAGAGTGTCCTGCTCCTCACTTCACTGAGGAGACTTTAATTTTCACTTTCTATGTCTCCCTCTATGCCTCAGCTTGCAGCACACACAGAATGACCAGGAGCTGACAGGGGGAGCTGACCTTGTTGATGGGGCTGCCCGTACCTCTCCGGTCACCTCCGAGATAGCAGCTGTCACAATGGTGTATATGAGAAGGGCTGCCTGTCTTCTTTACCGCTCCGCACCGGTACGCTGCATAGCCACGCCTATCACTATGTCTTATTTTCGGGGTATGGCTTACATTGCGCAAATGCTTAGAAATCCTGCTACAGCTTATTTTCTGGGTATGTCTTATTTTTGGGGATACACAGTATATATATATATATATATATATATATATATATATACAGGTGAAACTCGAAAAATTAGAATATCGTGCAAAAGTTCATTTATTTCAGTATTGCAACTTAAAAGGTGAAACTAATATATGAGATAGACTCATTACATGCAAAGCAAGATAGTTCAAGTTGTGATTTGTCATAATTGTGATGATTATGACTTACAGCTCATGAAAACCCCAGATCCACAATCTTGTGAAAAGGTGCAATATTCTCGGCTCAAAGTGTCCCACTCTAATCAGCTAATTAAGCCATAACACCTGCAAAGGGTTCCTGAGCCTTTAAATGGTCTCTCAGTTGGTTCAGTAGGAATCACAATCATGGGAAAGACTGCTGACCTGACAGCTGTGCAGAAAACCATCATTGACACCCTCCATAAGGAGGGAAAGCCTCAAAAGGTAATTGCAAAAGAAGTTGGATGTTCCCAAAGTGCTGTATCAAAGCACATTAATAGAAAGTTATGTGGAAGGGAAAAGTGTGGAAGAAAAGGGTGCACAAGCAGCAGGGATGACTGCAGCCTGGAGAGGATTGTCAGGAAAAGGCCATTCAAAAGTGTTGGGGACTTTTACAAGGAGTGGACTGAGGCTGGAGTCAGTGCATCAAGAGCCACCACACACAGACGGATCCTGGACATGGGCTTCAAATGTCATATTCCTCTTGTCAAGCCGCTCAGAAGAAGCGTCTTTACCTGGGCTAAAGAAAAACAGACCTGGTCTGTTGCTCAGTGGTCCAAAGTCCTCTTTTCTGATGAGAGCAACTTTTGCATCTCATTTGGAAACCAAGGACCCAGAGTATGGAGGAAGAATGGAGAGACACACACTGCAAGATGCTTGAAGTCCAGTGTGAAGTTTCCACAGTCTGTGTTGATTTGGGGAGCCATGTCATCTGCTGGTGTTGGTCCACTGTGCTCCATTAAGTCCAGGGTCAACGCAGCCATCTACCAGGAGATTTTGGAGCACTTCATGCTTCCTTCCACAGACGAGCTTTATGGGGATGCTGACTTCATTTTCCAACAGGACTTGGCACCTGCCCACACTGGCAAAAGCACCAAAACCTGCTGGTTCAATGACCGTGGGATTACTGTGCTTGATTGGCCAGCAAAACTCACCTGACCTGACTCCCATAGAGAATCTATGGGCCATTGCCAAGAGAAAGATGAGAGACATGAGACCGAACAATGCAGAAGAGCTGAAGGCCGCTATTGAAGCATCCTGGTCTTCCATAACACCTCAGCAGTGCCACAGACTGATAGCTTTCATGCCACACCGCATTGAGGCAGTAATTGCTGCAAAAGGGCCCAAACCAAGGACAATGTTCACCCAAATTAAAACATCACATTTTTATGAAATATAGTTAAGTATTCTACATTGTCAGTAGCTAAGAGATGTATATTTCCAGCCCAGATGCAAAACGTGGAGTTAAGAGGTGCTTATCAGATATGTTTAGTGCCTGCTAAACTCTTTCTATGGGTGAAACTCGAACAATTAGAATATCATGCAAAAGTTCATTTATTTCAGTAATGCAACTTAAAATGTGAAACTAATATATGAGATAGACTCATTATATGCAAAGCAAGAAAGTTCAAGCTGTGATTTGTCATAATTGTGATGATTATGGCTTACAGCTCATGAAAACCCCAAATCCACAGTCTCAGAAAATTAGAATATTGTGAAAAGGTGCAATATTCTCAGCTCAAAGTGTCCCACTCTAATCAGCTAATTAAGCCATAACACCTGAAAAGGGTTCCTGAGCTTTTAAATGGTCTCTCAGTCTGGTTCAGTAGGAATCACAATCATGGGAAAAGACTGCTGACCTGACAGCTGTGCAGAAAACCATCATTGACACCCTCCATAAGGAGGGAAAGCCTCAAAAGGTAATTGCAAAAGAAGTTGGATGTTCCCAAAGTGCTGTATCAAAGCACATTAATAGAACGTTATGTGTAAGTGAAAAGTGTGGAAGAAAAGGGTGCACAAGCAGCAGGGATGACTGCAGCCTGGAGAGGATTGTCAGGAAAAGGCCATTCAAAAGTGTTGGGGACTTTCACAAGGAGTGGACTGAGGCTGGAGTCAGTGCATCAAGAGCCACCACACACAGACGGATCCTGGACATGGACTTCAAATGTTGTATTCCTCTTGTCAAGCTGGGCTAAAGAAACACAGACCTGGTCTGTTGCTCAGTGGTCCAAAGTCCTCTTTTCTGATGAGAGCAACTTTTGCATCTCATTTGGAAACCAAGGACCCAGAGTATGGAGGAAGAATGGCACACACTGCAATATGTTTGAAGTCCAGTGTGAAGTTTCCACAGTCTGTGTTGATTTGGGGAGCCATGTCATCTGCTGGTGTTGGTTCACTGTGTTTCATTAAGTCCAGGGTCAACGCAATCATCTACCAGGAGATTTTGGAGCACTTCATGCTTCCTTCCACAGACGAGCTTTATGGGGATGCTGACTTCATTTTCCAACAGGACTTGGCACCTGCCCACACTGGCAAAAGCACCAAAACCTGCTGGTTCAATGACCGTGGGATTACTGTGCTTGATTGGCCAGCAAACTCACCTGACCTGACTCCCCATAGAGAATCTATGGGCCATTGCCAAGAGAAAGATGAGAGACATGAGACCGAACAATGCAGAAGAGCTGAAGGCCGCTATTGAAGCATCCTGGTCTTCCATAACACCTCAGCAGTGCCACAGGCTGATAGCTTTCATGCCACACCGCATTGAGGCAGTAATTGCTGCAAAAGGGCCCAAACCAAGGACAATGTTCACCCAAATTAAAACATCACATTTTTATGAAATATAGTTAAGTATTCTACATTGTCAGTAGCTAAGAGATGTATATTTCCAGCCCAGATGCAAAACGTGGAGTTAAGAGGTGCTTATCAGATATGTTTAGTGCCTGCTAAACTCTTTCTATGGGTGAAACTCGAACAATTAGAATATCATGCAAAAGTTCATTTATTTCAGTAATGCAACTTAAAATGTGAAAACTAATATATGAGATAGACTCATTATATGCAAAGCAAGAAAGTTCAAGCTGTGATTTGTCATAATTGTGATGATTATGGCTTACAGCTCATGAAAACCCCAAATCCACAGTCTCAGAAAATTAGAATATTGTGAAAAGGTGCAATATTCTCAGCTCAAAGTGTCCCACTCTAATCAGCTAATTAAGCCATAACACCTGCAAAGGGTTCCTGAGCTTTTAAATGGTCTCTCAGTCTGGTTCAGTAGGAATCACAATCATGGGAAAGACTGCTGACCTGACAGCTGTGCAGAAAACCATCATTGACACCCTCCATAAGGGCCTCAAAAGGTAATTGCAAAAGAAGTTGGATGTTCCCAAAGTGCTGTATCAAAGCACATTAATAGAACGTTATGTGTAAGTGAAAAGTGTGGAAGAAAAGGGTGCACAAGCAGCAGGGATGACTGCAGCCTGGAGAGGATTGTCAGGAAAAGGCTATTCAAAAGTGTTGGGGACTTTCACAAGGAGTGGACTGAGGCTGGAGTCAGTGCATCAAGAGCCACCACACACAGACGGATCCTTGACATGGACTTCAAATGTTGTATTCCTCTTGTCAAGCTGGGCTAAAGAAACACAGACCTGGTCTGTTGCTCAGTGGTCCAAAGTCCTCTTTTCTGATGAGAGCAACTTTTGCATCTCATTTGGAAACCAAGGATCCAGAGTATGGAGGAAGAATGGAGAGGCACACACTGCAATATGTTTGAAGTCCAGTGTGAAGTTTCCACAGTCTGT